TCGTCTGTGGTTAAAGCCATCGAGAACAGCAGAACAGAAAGAGCCAAAGAGAAGCGTCAGTGAAGAAAGCAGGCTGTGGCAAAAACACATGGCCATGTCTGCCCCACGTGCGGACACATCTTGGATTCCTCATTGTTTTACATTTGCACAGGAAGAATCATTGAAACAAACTGACTCTCCTATAACGAGGAGTTCTTGTGGCACCTTAGAGACTAACAAATTTATTTGGGCCTAAGCTTTTGTGGGCTAAAACCCACTTCATCAGATGCATGGAGTGGAAAATACAGAGGCAGGTATAAATACACAGCACATGAAAAGATGGGAGTTGCCTTACCAAGTGGGGCGGGTAGCTGGGGGGGGTGGTCAGTGCTAATGAGGCAATTTCAATTAAGGTGGAAGTGGGCTATTCTCAACAGTTGACAAGACAGTTGACAAGTGAATATCAAAGGGGGGAAATCACTTTTGTAGTGCTAATGAGATCAATGTAATCAAGGTGGCTCATTTCAAACAGTTGACAAGAAGGTGTGAGTATCAGCAGGGGGAAATTAGTTTTTGTAGTGACCCATCCACTCCCAGTCTTTATTCAGGCCTAATTTGATGGTGTGCAGTTTGCAAATTAATTCCAGTTCTGCAGTTTCTTGTTGGAGTTTGTTTTTGAAGTTTTTGTTGTTGAAGAATTGCCACTTTTAAGTCTGTTATTGAGTGTCCAGGGAGACTGAAGTGTTCTCCTACTGGTTTTTGAATGTTATAATTCTTGATGTCAGATTTGTGTCCATTAATTCTTTTGCGTAGAGACTGTCCGGTTTGGCCAATGTACATGGCAGAGGGGCATTGCTGGCACATGATGGCATATATCAGAGACTCCAACAACAACTTTTGCCAGGGATCCCACTTGGTTTGCTCCAGTGCTCAGAGCCAGAGGCCCACGTTGCACTCGGCCAGGTTTCAGTTCCCAGGAGGCTGGAGATCTCATTCTGCGCTTTGAAAGACAGCCTGGAGAAGCCTAGTGCAGGGTAATGCAGGAGCCAGAGACACTCAGCTGTCTGGGTGGGAGAAAGGTGAATGAGCAGTGGCTGACGACAGCACAAGGTGGTGGAACAAGATGGGGAGAGAGTGAGATTGGACCTACCAGTAGGCATAACGGGGTCATTAGCAGGATAGTATTTTTTCAGCTGCCAGGTCACTGGCTAAAGTAACCTCACTCAGTTCGGTCTCAAAGGGGGGAGAGATGTGACAAAGTGGGGTTCTCCTCCTTATGTTGTAGGTGAGCCTATGTGAGTCTTACTGTTTTGCATGGATACTGTGTGTACCTCAGTTTCCCTGTGTATTACATCAATGCTTAGCTGGTGGGAATAAGGGTGTGTGACTTTTGCTGAGACCCTCGGGGACAGGTGAGGCGGCTCCAGCTGCGATGGCTGATGCCCTGAGAACCAGGAGGGGGGTTGTGACCAGGTAACACTTTGCCCAGGAAGTGAGACAAAAGACTGGTGGAGAGGCAACGGGTGTGTTGAGGGCTGGGCAGCTGGAAGTAAGTCAGTCTGAGCTAGCTTCGGGCCCAGGGGGAAGCCCAGAGCACTGGCTCTGGGCTCCCCTCCCCCAAAGATGGACTTTACTGAATGCTCCTGCTTTCTGTGCTAACAAACTCTGTTCTATGCTGTCTTCCTGTCAACTAATAAACCTTCTGTTTTACACGCTGGCTGAGAGTCGTGTCTGACTGCAAAGTTGGGGTGCAGGCCCCTTTGGCTTCCCTAGAGTCCCACCCAGGCCGATTCGCTGCGGGAAGCGCACGGTGAGAACGGGGCGGCTGAATGCTCCAAGGTCAGACGCAGGAAGGCCCAAGCCATATAGGCTTCTTGTCCTGGCGACAGCTTAGAGAGAGGAGGCATGTTAAACCACAGTCCTGACTGGCTTCATTCAGAGCATCGGTCCAGTGCCTCCGTGACAACTGGTGTGGGTGGGCAATCATGTCCCACACTGTGAGGGTAAATTATGGGGGACTCTGTAACGCTGCATTGCGCAGAGTCAAGGCCACAATGCCCTTCACAGGCCAGTGTCAGTGGTGCTTCTCCTGAATGTAGGGGAGAGCAGTTCTGAGGGGCAGGGAATGACCAGTTACCACATCGCCTTAGGCCTGTGTGCACTGAGACAGATGCCTCCTGCCTGCTGCTGAGGAGGACTCTGGAGCCAAGTGTTGGGGAAGGAGCTCAGTGAGAAACCAGAGGTGATATCTAGTCCCTTCTGCGATCTCCCCCGCCCCGAAATCAGCAACCTCTGCACTGCAACACTCCTCCAAACCAGCAACCACTGCACTGTGATCCCCTCAAATCAGCAACCTCTGCATTGCAACACTCCTCTGAACCAGCAACCTCCGCACTGCAATCCTCCCCAAACCAGCAACCTCTTCACTGCGATCCCTCCAAACCAGTAACTGCTGCACT